AAGCCAGTGTTTCCATTTGAGTATTAAGTGCTTGGCCAGGTCAAGAAAAAATTGTTGATAAAGAATCTAATGTGATGCCAAGAACTGTAATTGGATGAGGCCCAACAGTTGAGCAATCTCTTGGTTTAATATTCTTGAACCGTAGCATAGGTCCACTGAAATATCTCTCGCTCAAAATTAGGAGGCTTTGTTACTTACTAGCTGTGTGAACTTGGGGCACATTCCCCATCTTCTCTTGGCTTCAGATGTCTCATCTGTAATGAGGTTAATCTGGATGATCTCTGTTTTTCCTGGAGTCCTGATAAGTCATTTCTTTATACCATCAGAGTGACTGAGGTCTGGAATAAACAAGTATTCTCCCCCACAGCAATTTAGCTTCAATAGAACTGGAATGGAGAGATAATAGAGATCAATATAATTAAGTGGCATAAAAATCAAATCGACAACATTGACCATTTTAACACACCAGCCCAATCTACTAGAGAATTGAGAGTTTTAACTTTCACAGTTTTGAGTTTGATTCCTGCCATCCTTACATCCTAAAGTGCTGCATGATACTGATTTTTTAATTCAAGTGATTGATTAATTTTGTAAAGATAGTCATTAAGATCCTTTGACATATCCCAGGCAGTCACAAGGCCCAGTTTTGGGGGAATCAATGTGACATGTTGTTGGCTCAAAGATCATTTCTTTAGAAGTAGACACCACTGTGTTTCACTCATTACAAGGAGAGGGTTTCCCAGCTTCACCACCAAGGATCTTTTCAATTATTTGTCTTTATGAATTCTGGGTTATGAATAATTACAACTATTAAGCTATATTTATTAATATAAATAATAGCTTATTTCTCAAACTCAGTGAAGCAAAGAGTGTTTAACCACTACTTGGAGCTTCTGATCAGTGAGCTATGCCATGTAATCAAAAGTTGGTATCATTCTGGCTAAAAAGAAATGTATGTGGTATTTTAATTAGCTCTGCCTTAGGTAAATGTAAAACATCTCTTAAGAATTTAGAAATCAAGTATGTTGGAAACTTCCAGATGCTTAAAAGAGATTCCTAGTGAGCCACAGACTATACTTTGGGAGCTTAGTGCATATATTAGGGAACAGTCAACCCAATAATAGTTACGGTTATATAAGTTATTATTAAGGGTGACTGTTCTCTAATATATGCATTAACCTCTCAAATTATAGTCTGTGGATGATGATGATGATGGTTGTTATTGCCAATGTGTATTGGCGATGTGTATACCAGACCTGTCTTTAACCACTGTATGCATTTAATCCTTTATTCCTGAGCCACAGAGAGGTAAAATTACTTACCCAGGGTCACACAACTAGGAACTCATGGGATTTTAACCCTGGAAGGTTTGAGGAGTTGGGGGTGAGGACTACTGTTCATATAACCTATTAGTGGGCAAAGAGTGCTTTGGTAAATGAATAAGAGAAGGACAGGCATTGACAGTTATCTTAAATTGTTAGAATATGAGAAGGATTCAGAGCTGTGGTGTGGAAAAACATTTGAGTTGCAAAGATAAAGTTGGAGACAGTGTGCTCTGCAGGTTAGTCCCCAAGTTTGTGCATTTGAGCTGAGGATTGTGTGAAGGCTAGAAGTTAGACCAACCAATACCTTGTTGGTCAGAGTGGTGAATTCCAAGTGCCTAACCTGTTTGGTTGGGATGGGGGCGGTGAGTAGAGGATGATATCACCATTTTAAGGCTGGGAATAAGAGTTGAAGAAGGGGAAAATGGCTCCCGCTAGACAGTTACATATATATGATAAGGCAGGGGAAGGGAGAGTGAGGAGAAAAGCTAATTTTTGAGTTAATAACTGATGTTCTACTAGAATTTCAGGGACTTTAAACCTTTGTGGAGTAGGGATTTGTGGCAATTCTATACCACAGAATGTCACAAAACCCAGGATATTGGGATTCCAGGGTTAGGACTCTAGCAGTTCAAGACAATGAAATGCTGAGGGATGTTGGGGGCCATAAACCCAAGGATTCGAAAGGTAAATCTCTGGAGATGTTAAACACTAATCCCCTCTGCACTCCAAGTCAATCACAATTTTAGCCCCTGGGACAGTGGAAATGGGATTGGTGGTTGGAGATGGGGCGGGGGATGATTAAGGGGGAGGCCACCGAAGCAGGAATTTGGGGCCTACCTCCCTAGCTTTAACTGGAGCAGCTGCCATTTTATATGGAGGGTTTTTATATACGGTCTTTTTCAGTAAAGGCATTCCAAACTGAAAGAAAAAAGCAAAACCACTAGGGGAAAGAAGAGGATGTGGAACCTCTAAAAGGTGACCCCTTTGGCTTTTGGCCTTTTTGAAAAGAGGTACAGACACAATCAAGGATGTTTGACTGGGAGATTGGGAAGGACCAACTAACACCTAGTAAATTAGGCATTCTCTACCAAGAAACCAGTAACAGCAGCAGCAACAAATGATAATAGCATTTCCCATGTCGATTCTCAGCTCAGATCTGGGCCCAGGGCTAAATGCTACAGATTGTGCCATTTGATTCTCTGGGGTCCCATGGGGTAGATGCTATTATCTCATTTTGCAGATACTGTCTCTTTTTCAGCAGCTGGCGGAAATGTATGAGTAGCCTACATATATAAGAATACACAAAGTTAAAGCAGTTAAGAATCTAACTCTGCCCAGTTAGACAGTTGAAGCTGAAGCACACGTGGGGTCCAGTTATCTGTTCCTTTGAGCCCAGGAGATCCTGAGTTCAAAAGGACCAATCAGGAATGTCTGAGAGCTTATCCCAAGCAGGAAGTGTTTTTATGTTGATTTAAGTAGAAGATGACACATTTCCTTCACAGAAAGGAAAGGTTTTATTGCAATCGCATGTTTGCTTGAAAAGACTTTTATTAATTTGTTCATTCAGCAAATACTTAATGAGCCACAACCACGTGCTCTGAGCCCCAAGTCTCAAACGTACAAAATTGGGAAGCTGAATTAACATAAGCTTCAACCCTGAGGAATTTCTGAAACTTGCAAGCCTTGCTTTAAGAGGCACCTATGGAGTGAGGGCGATTTTTTTTAGTCTAGTTCCAATGGATATTTAAATACCTATCCAGAACAAAGAAAGCAGTGGAATTTATAGCTTGTACATCATGGACTTAAAGAACCTTAGAAATCGGGGTGCCTGACTGGCTCAGTTGGTGGAGCATGGGACTTTTGATCTCAGCTTGATCTCAAGCCCCATGTTGGGTGTGGAGCTTATGGAAAAAGCCTTTTTTTTAAATTATAAAATAAAGAACTTTAGAAATAAAGTGGCCCATGTGCTGTATTTTACCGGTCAGAGAGTCAGACAGACTTAGATTGTAAACTGTTTAACCGAAGGCAGGTCACTTAATCTCTCTGAGCCTCAGTTTCTTCATAGGTAATGTGGGGTAGTAGCAGTTGCCTTATAGAAATATGGTAAGGATTACATAAGGTGATTTATATGAAGTTCTCAGTGCAGTGTCTAACAGACTTAAATACATTTTACTGTTATTGTGATCACTATTTTCCGAGTTGAGGGGACTGAAACCCAGAGAGGGGAAGTGACTAGCCCAAGATCACACAACTTGTTGATGTTAGGACAAATATTAGAACTCAGATCTCTTTTAATAGTCAAATATTCCTCATACCGCCCCACTCATTTTGTTCCTTTGGAGCAGGTAATGTAAACCTCCTAAGCTTGTGAGAAATATTTTGCTTCATCCAAGAAGGAGGGAGAAGAATGGCAAAGAAATGGCTGACGTAAGAAAAGAATTCAAGGGGCTCCTGATTGGTTCAGTCAATTAAGCATTCAACTCTTGATTTCAGATCAGGTCACGATCTCAGGGTCATGGGATCGAGCCCCATGTCAGGCTCTGTGCTCAGTGCGGAGTCTGCTTGAGATTCTCTCTCTCCCTCTGCCCACCCCCCAAATAAATAGGCAAATAAATCATTAAACAAACAAAAGAAAGAAAAGAATTCCTGGACCCAGATAACAAAGTAGCAAGAGATAAATGGAGAGCAAAGGAGAAACAATAGAAGTTGTTTCTAGAAATTGTGGAAGGCAGCTATGCTTACCACTATACCACCAACGCTGCACACTGTTTCTAGAAATTTTGAATAGCAATATTGGAGCACTATAATGTCTGGTGAATCATAAGGACTCATCTCCATCCTTATACCTTTATTCACCACAATAGAATTGACGAGACCTTTCCTTTTGCTTGGGGATGGAGGTGGGGAGGTGGTTTGGAGTACCTGTGTGTTTCACAGAACCTTACTGTGACTTCAGCCTCACCAGACAATTGCTATTTGCACAACAAAGGACCCATATAATTGAGGTTAGAATGAAGCGTGAGTCCTTCCAAGGCCTAAGGAATGATAGATTTTTAAAGGATTGTGGACTGGAAGCTGCTGAAAAGTTTAGAAAAACAGGGGGAAAAAAACCAGTAAAGCCATGTTGTTCATTGCTCTGTGCAGTGACAGCAGTAGGTAAATACAGCACCAAGTGTGATTGATTTGTTAGGTGAAAATATTCTTTTTTTTAAGATTATTTATTTATTTATTTAAGAGGGAGTACATAGAGAAAAAGGCAGAGGCAGACTCCCCACTAAGTCGGGAGCCTGATGTGGGGCTTGATCCCCGGACCCTGGGATCATGACTTGAGCTGAAGGCAGACACTTCACTGACTGAGCCACCTAGGGATGATACATTCTTTCCTAAACAGTACTTCAGTTTATTCAGAGGACTGCAGTTGTTGCAGCATCCAGGCTATTTTGCTCAGTTCATTGCTGCAGAAGGTCTGACTGGAGTTCCTAGCCCACCAAAAGGGATACCCTGAAGCTATCTCAGGTGGAAGTACCACAGAAAGGGATTGTTCCTTTGTTATTTCATCCTTGTATCTTAAGCTTGCCGATTTCCCTCTCCTAGAAATAATTACATGTTATTTCAAATAAAATATACAGCTAACATTTGGATTGCTTATTCATTCGATAACTTTCACCTTCGCAGGGCATCAGGTACAGTGTACACAGCGCTGGACATTGCCACTGGACAAGAGGTGAGTGCTCACATTCAACTCTGATTTTTACTGTCCTTTCATTCATAACGATCACATCTCTTCTTCTGTCCTGACAGAATGGGTGGCACTGGGTTGACGTGGGACTCGATTTCATCAGTGTCCAAAGTTTCTGAAGTGGGTGATTTGCTCCTGACTGACCAAAGAAAAGAGCATGAGTTTGCGGTGCTAAGAAAGAGCCTAGGAAGATAAAGAATATTTATGCCTTACCCTGTGTACAAAAAACAAAAAACAAAACAAAAATCCCAAGCCAAAAAATAAATAAATAAATAAACCCAAAACCAACTCCCTCCCCCCCAAAACAATGGCTGTGTATGTGTAATGACTGTAACTCATTCTTGCATTTCAATCATCCTTCAGGTGGCCATAAAGCAGATGAACCTTCAACAGCAGCCCAAAAAGGAATTAATTATTAATGAAATTCTGGTCATGAGGGAAAATAAGAACCCCAATATTGTTAATTATTTAGATAGGTAAGTGTTTTCTCTCATTACGTACCGGTTTTCTTAATGCGATGTCATTTGCTTGGCCAAGTATTTTGTTTAGGATCTAGTCATGTAGCAACCCTTCTACAAATACTTCTCAAGTGCTATGGAATAGGGAGCCTCACATCTATTGCTGAACTTTGCCCACCCATCAAACATTGGAAGACACGCTTTATGGTCCTGCTTCTAAGCGTGAGCAGTGTGTGTAATTTCCTTTCAAGGATCGTGACTCCACATTGGCAGGAAATAGACTCTTGCGTACAGGGGAGAGCTGCGGTGTTTTAAACATTTCACCAAGTGTTTGGAGGGAGTGCCATCTCTGGGTGTCTGAGTGAAGAGGGCTGGCTGCAGCGGCCCCACTTTAATGGATGCTTTGTGATTAGCTGACAGTGAGGTCTAGGGAATTGAGACTTTAATCTCAAGCCTTTCTCTTGGACCAGGTAATTAATGTCTCTTTCATCAGTGGTATTAGCAGCGGGTTATAAATAGGCGTTTAAAGACAGCTCTAACTCTTTGCTTGTGGTTAACATCGTGTTTCATTCAATTTCAGTAAGTGTTTGCTTAGCACCACTGTGCTGTGTACTCTGGGGGGATATAAAGGAAATAAGATGAGGTCTCCAACCTCAGTGAGCTTAAAATCTTGCTTTCTGTGTTTTGTGCCAGGTGGACCAGAGAAAGAGGGGGAAGAGGGAGGAAAAAAAAAAAAGGAATCAAATTTTACAGCCGAAACCTGAGCTTCATAAAATGCCCCTTATGGGCTATCTGCAGTAAAGTGACTCGACTCTGCTTTTTTAATTTTGTAAAAATTGCCTTTGCAAAAGGAAAAAAATGTAGATTTCTCAGATGCTTTCTTTCCTAATGAGGTAGAGCCTGTGAATGTTCATTTTTAATAGGCTTCCCAGATGACTCTCAACGGGCATTACAGTTGGAGCGCCACTGAATTCAAAGTCTTGCTTCATACTGATGTTTGGAACTTAGGGCAGGATGGAATCATTGGGGTCATTCTGTTCACTGTAATTCCTCTCTTGCTGAGCCTGGCTGCTAATGTGCCTTCAAGTGGTTGCAGATGTTTCGAATTGGTCTAGTGGTCAGACTTTGATGACCTTCCTCCCCATGTTTGATCACTTGTTGTGTGTTCTCTCAAAAACTACCTAAAGAAAATGGGCACATTGCTACTAACTTCTAATAGGACTGAGACCTCAGCACAGCAAATCCTTTGCAAACATGAGTCTCTTTGATTCCAATACTGCTCGAAAATAATTCAGTAGAATCAAAAATAATGCTGGATATGAATAAATATCTTTTATATATCTCTGTGCCATGGTCCAGTTCAGTCCAAGACATCAACACAATGGCTCAAGTTACCAAAATGGCTAGTCACTGATCCTGTTCAATGAAAGTAGCTTTTACAGTGGAATGACTGCGAGTAGTCAGTCATCAGAGGACTTCTGGTTCATTTCCTTCTTCCATGGCACACAGTGAGATCTGATGATCCTTTGATTTTCCTGCATATTCTCTTGTAATGCTAAGGGAAGTTTCCTCTTATCCCAGTCATTGATATTTTCCTCCCATTATAGAATATGACCAAATGCAGACACGACCTGCAAACTACCTTCTTAATGGGAATATAGACAAGTCCCCACTTCCTTAGGCCTGAGTCAATGTCTTTTTCTTCTCTTCTTGTAGCTACTTAGTGGGTGATGAACTATGGGTAGTCATGGAGTACTTGGCTGGTGGCTCTCTGACTGATGTGGTCACAGAGACCTGTATGGATGAAGGCCAGATAGCCGCTGTCTGCAGAGAGGTAAGAAAATAGAGCATTTCTAGCTGATGAGATCACCAGAACTGGCAGTTCTTTATCTCTGATTATCCAGAATGTGTTTAACACCAAAGTAACAATAGCACATCTTTTCTATGAAAAAAAAAAAAAAGGAAAGAAAATGGTGAGCCTAACTTCAATTCAGATCCTTTCCTAATAGCACTTTCCTTCCCCTCTCTTCCCAGCCTGTTGTGTATTTTAGTCCCTTTGCTCTGGATCTTTTGAGCTCTATTACGCCATTTACAAAGTGTCGCATCTAAGCCTGCATGCTGTAGTTTCAGTGAGCCTGAGAAACAGTAATGGCGGCATGGAAGTTCTTCCTGATTTGGGAGGATTTTTACATGATAATCACTTTGTCCTGCATATACAATGGGAGCCTTGTAAAATATAAACCATTCCAACCCTATCATTTTCGAGAAGGCAATTCAAGCAAGATTCTCCCTCAGCCCAGACAGTAGTTGCTTTCTCGTTACAATCTGGATGTCTCCCAAAACCCTCCAGTGGGTCTGAGTGTCTGCCTCTCATCCAATAACAGTGTCATATCCCTAGTTTCATGCAAAACTGAGGACATTTTACTATAATTTTCTCAGTACTTAAAAACACACTCCTTTTTGGAATCTCATCTTGGGCCTGACCATCTACCCCATTCATTGTGGTGAGGCTGTCTGCAGACACAAGTAGGAACTCTGACCCACTGAAACTTGAAAACCAGGAAGTGATAGGAAGACAAAACCAAATAACTGCCGCTAGTCTTTGTTCTTTATTTTCAGTTGTTCACTTAAATTTCTTCCTGCCTTGCTCTCCTCTGGTCCCCATTTCCTCCAGCCCCAGCATGTAGATGTATCCACCAAACTTAAGTATTTTCTATTCATGCAATGAATCAAACTTTTAATATATGGGAGACCCTTCCACCCTGAGCCTGTAGTTTCCATGTTGCATGATGCGAAGCCACTTCCCAACAACTGACTATAGCTACTTCATAACCTAGAGGTGGTTCCCAACCATGGATGTCCATCAGAGGTAGCTTGGGGCCCTCGTTTTCCATGCAGATTCCTGGGTCCCCCTTCCGGCCTCCTGAATCAAATCCTGTGGAGGCAGAGTCTTACTGTGCCTATGTAGGACCAAGCCGAATCCACACCCTCCAGATGACTAGGTCAAAGTATGATTCTTAACTGGCTAGTCTGGCTGTATTAAGGATTTACTGCTATTTATCACATCCCCACTCTTCATGTCCTAGTCTGACTTGGGAGCTTTTATAATGTGTAATGCTAACTTATAGCATTGATGTAAATGGGAACGTGATTTCAAACTGGTAAGACAACAGTAATCTATTTCACTTGACAATGTAAAATTATACCTTTGCCCCATGTTTATCTAAAAAATGAAACTTACCTGGTTTTAAATTCTTTGTGATATAATTAGAACTTGCTTTTCTGATTTAATAGTGCCTCCAAGCGCTGGACTTTTTACACTCAAACCAAGTGATCCACAGAGACATAAAGAGTGACAATATTCTTCTTGGGATGGATGGCTCTGTTAAATTGAGTAGGTATTTTTGTTCAGATGGTATTTGAAAGAGTATCAGGGGATTTCTGCTTGTTTCCTGTCTGAGAAGAAAGTGGCTATTGAATGTGATTGGTTTGAAAGCATTTAGAGCCCCATTTGAAGTAAAGAAATTTTTTTCTAACACCATGTTCCTGTAGATCATGGCCAGATTCTGAGGGTTTAACATTCAGAATTTCTCGGGTCTTCCATCTGCTAAATGACAAATACCCAACTAGAAAACTGAAAGATCCTGTAAGTTGGAGGGGACAGTAATGGGGAGGGAACCAGACTGAGGACTAGTAAAAATGACATCACGTTAATCAGTTATCTCAGACCCTTTTAAAATCAGGGCCACTGGAGGGATCTGGTAGTAATGGATAGGAGCTAGGGGGTTATGGAAACTCTGTGTCGAACAGAAGAAGGTATGGCCATTTGTGAAAGTGACCTATTATGAAAAAAATAAGAAGAAATTGAATTGATTGTAACTGACTTTTCTTCCGCAGCTGATTTTGGGTTCTGTGCCCAGATCACCCCTGAACAAAGTAAACGGAGCACTATGGTGGGAACTCCATACTGGATGGCACCTGAGGTTGTAACTCGAAAAGCTTATGGTCCGAAAGTTGATATCTGGTCTCTAGGGATTATGGCAATTGAAATGGTGGAAGGTGAACCCCCTTACCTTAATGAAAATCCACTCAGGGTAAGTCAGGAGAAAACTCATGTATGTCCTCCCTCGGAAGAGGGCAAAGTGTCATTTCTTGTCTCTACCAAAAGGGGCCAGAATGGGCTCTTTCCTGGGATAAGTGACATAGAAGCTCCAAGTTATGATTCTCAAAATTATTCCGAGTTATTCTCAATATCTTCTATAGTGTCCCAGCAGCTTTCCAAGTGCTTGTAGATCAGTATTTCTAATGACAGGGGTCTTTAAAATTCTTTACTACAGTTTTCTGCTGTTAAAAAAAAGCATAACTAGATGTGGGAAGAAAAGTATTTTTATCATATGCCATGCTTAAATGATCTATCTAGGAAACACTTGCTTTATAATCACTTTAACAAAGTGAATAAATGCATTTCCAGAACACTTATAATTTTTAAATTAGATTTTGTCTCATTGTCAGTAATGATTTATTGAGCAGCAGCAGCTGGGTATTGAATGGAGCGCGAGATAGACACAGCGCCAGCATGGCGGAGTTGCAAACGTAATTAGGCTGTCTGGTAGAAAATGAATGGAAATAGTTGGCGTTGGGGAACTCAGGTTAGCTCCTGTGGAAACAGAGGTTTTATCCTTATGTAGTCAGGTTACCTCGCCAAAAGAGAAGCTCCATTTCAGAGCCTAAGCCCACCATCTTTATTCAGAGATGAGCCATGGATCATGAGAGTAAAAGGCCAAGGGGTATGGAAGAGATGCTTGTTCAGCACAGGAGTGAGCCAGGAGCTCTCCTGTTGTGCATTGCCTAAGGGTGAGCCAGAAGCTGTGTTGCGTATTTAAAGGGCATTCCATTACCGAAAAAGGAAATATGCACAGGTTCACATTTGACACTCAGAACACACATAGCATGCCAGTGCTGATGGCTTCTCGCATTTTATTTGCATCCTTACCACTGAGTCTAAAACTGAGTTTCCCCCTCAGTATAAAAAGAATTGGCCTTGGTAAATGGTGAAGTCTTTGCACAGTCAGCTTATAAAATCCATATTCACGCCAAATGTATGTGGCTTTCTGTATATGTCATGCAACCTACACACTCACTATCTGGATGTTTTCATAGTTGAACCTTTTGTAATTGGGAGCTGCAGCCCCCCGTGTATACAGTGGGGGACAGCCTCCCCTCACCATCTCCTAAGTCCTCTCCGGCATTCGGCCTCTTGTCCTCGTCCCTGTACTGATTAGGAAACAACAGATAGGAGTGAATGCCCTAATGAATGCTCTGTGCTATTGCTATGGTCTCATGAAACAATCTGGAAGTGAGATGTGCGGATTGATTAGCTGCTTGCAGGGCTGAGTGGAAGAGAAGGGGCATTTTCCCACCGTTTGTGGGTCAGCCCTCCATGAATTTAATCAAGCCCACCCCTGACCTATGGACCAAGTGCATCAGGATAATTACTGGGGCTTATCCTTATTGTTTAACCACCTTTGCCCATTAAGGAATAGCAGTGAAAGAACACATCAGGCCTCTTGTTTCCACGGATTTCCTCCTCTAAGTCTTCAGAGTTTGGAGGCACTAAACGGATTATAGCTATTTTGCTTTCTGTCTTCTAATGAGTAATTTACAACCTGCAAACTTTGAGGATTAAATAAATGGCGCTGTAAAGCAACTGGTCTCAGTAATGCATTTATTACCTTCTTCAGTTCCCCAATTACAATTGATCACTCTTTAGCGGGGCCATTAATTGTTAGAAAAAAAGGAAACAAGTTTTAATCTTTATAGGCATCTTCTAGCCTAGGATTAGAACTCATAATGAACAGCTTGTCTCTTAGAACACACAGCCTTGTAGCTAAACAAGTACTTGCAGACAACAAGCCACCAGGTTCAGGAAGCCTACATTAGGCTGTAACAAAAAGACCTGTCAGAAAGACCACCCTGTTGAATTCCACTGATAAGGACTTGGACTAACTTTGCTCATTACTCTCCGTGTGTGATCAGCCTCCAATGACTCAATCAATCAACAGGTCCGTATTGAGCCAGCCCTCTCACTCTCTGCTAGGCACCACAAGTACTTTCTTAGTTTTGATTTCAGATATGTTGCCCTCGTGTTCGCTTAAAGACAACACAGCAACTCAGGCCGTATGCCTTTATTTGGGATTTAAAAAATGTAGTCACCGAAACCATAGAGGGGTTGGAGAGAAAAAGATCTAACGGGAGCTCGTAAGGAGCCTGTATTTTCTTGGATCCTAATGGCCAGGCTATGTGTGGAGGATTGGAAAATTGCAGAGTTTTGGGAGAGGTATAAAAGAGAGGTAGGTTAGTCCTTCTTTCTCCGAAATCCTTCCAATACTACCATCCACCCATCCACCCCTTTGGGCTTTGAGGAGGAAAGAAGGAATTAAGTGGAAGGAAGACAGCGTGGGTAGAATAGAGGGTAGCATGTTGTCGTGAAAAAATTCCGCCCCTGTAGTCAGGTAGATCTGGCGTGTCCCGGCTTCACAGCCTACAAGCTCTTGTAGGGACTTTCAGCAAGTCACTTAAAACTTTTATAAACCTGTTTCTTTTGTATAAAATGAGGATAATACCTGTCTTGCAGAGTTAGTATGAAAATTAAATACAATAATACATGTAAATCACTTAGCACACTGTCTAGCTCATTGTAGGAAATACGTGTATATGTGTTGTGCGTGTTTGTGTGTGCAGAGAGAGATTATACCAATAGGAAGGTGAGAAATGATCCATAGAGTGCTTTTTACACATTCATAAAGGGAGACTGGACTCCCCACTTCTGCAAAAACTTCCCCTTCACTCTGGCTACACTCTGATCACTGCAAAGAGCAGAGGGCTCTGCAGAGTCCCGTAAAATTACAATGAACAGATAACACTGAACGGAACAGGTTAAAGGTGAAGACGGGCTATATGTTTGAAGGCTATTCACCTTTCATTTGGGTTTTTTGCATGTGTCTTTGTTGTGTCTGTTGAAACAGAGCAAGCCCTTTGTGAATGTTGCCAGTTAACATATCACTGATGCAAGGAATTAGCTACTTCCCCCCTAGTTACAAAGCGGTTGGGATATTTTTTAATGTAAATTGTTCAGTGTTAATTGACCTAATTTGCTCATAAAATGCCTTTTAAAGGTCATAGAGTTATTAACTGTCCTGATGTTATGAGGTTGGTACCCTTCCAGAGACAGAAAGGAGACAAGCTTCTTACCGTTCCCCACTGCCTGAAGTCTTTGCATTCAACATAATTGGCCTTGAACATGTTGTTCTGTGACCCATGGACATTTTTAGTGTGGTCTCCAATAATAAAGTGCCTTGTTCTTTCTGTTTGCAAAAGTGATCAGGGTTAAAATCAAAAGTCCCCTGTGGATATACAAATCAGTGTTAGCATTCTGCTCATCTTCCCAACTTTTTTTGTCGATTGGAGATATGTACTCTAAAACCTGTGATTATAATGACCTGATTCTAAGTAAAGAGGAACAATCATCTAGATAAAACAAATCTTTGATTTGTTTTTTTCAGCACCAAAAGAGTGTCTCTTTATGAACTTTGTATTCACAGGTAATTGGGCTGTTCTTGTCAATGGGTTTTGATGGAATCTGACATTTGTAAAATATCTCAGTGACATCCAGTTGAAGTCCCTACTGGATGTGGGTGGATCCCTTTTCTATGTGTACTTTTCCAAACCTTCACCCTACTTGAAATGAACATTCAGGGTTGTCTTCCAGCCCTTGCTTTAAGCATCGACGAAATGGTAGCAAGCACTGGCTATTTGGAAGACAGTTCCTGGTATTAATAAGAAACATCTGAATGCTCAAACCAGTAGTGTATTATGTGAGCCACTGACCTTGTAACAGTGGGTCTACTCCTTGGTTGTGCATTGGAATCACTTATGGAGCTTTAAGAACAAATGATATCAGCTTCTCCCACCAAGGACTGAACCAGAAACAAAGCTCTGTGGCAAGCACTTTCTAGAACCCCGTCTAAGCTGGAAAACAATTCTTCATCAGCCCTCTTTGAACATGGCTGTCTAACCGAAAAAGAACACACTCTTACTCTATCCACATTTCTTCATTTCGTCTAATATAGATATATCTATATATTGATATCTGTATCTATATCTATATCTTTATCAATATTACTCTGTCAAAGCCTTGTTGAAATCCTGGTGCACTCTATGGCATTTTCTGGCTTACTAGTCCAGGAACACTATAAAAAAAGAAATGGCATTAGCTCAGCAGGTACATTCATGATACACCATTTCTTTTTCAGTTTTATTTCTCCGAAAATGTGGAGTTTATCTTTAAAATGTGCTAGCGGGCGCCTGGGTGGCTCAGTGGGTTGAGCGACTGCCTTCAGCTCAGGTCATGATCCCGGACTTCCAGGATCAAGTCCCGCATCAGGCTCCCAGCTCCTTGGGGAGTCTGCTTCTCCCTCTGACCTTCTCCTCTCTCATGCTCTCTCTCACTCATTCTCTCTCAAATAAATAAATAAAATCTTTAAAAAAAAATAAAATGTGCTAGCTGCTGAGTACATAGCACATATTGGTGATGATAAAGCTATCAGTCTGACTACTCATGATCAGGAGTGAATTACCTGTGTGGCCAGAGAGAAGGCAATCTAAAATCAGCCCTGTTGTCTTCACTGTGAGGCTTCTTAGTCTCACTTTCCGCACACTTAAAACACTACACAAATGTTCGTTATTTCTTTTACTATAGAGCTAAGGAAATTCTGGTTAGTTTATATGTCTAGAGAAGGGAGTTAAGCAAAAGGGAATCTCTAGCAACTAAAAAACAGCAACTAAGGGCCAAAGTGCTTCTAGCTCCTCCAACCACTGGAACCTGTGTTGTGGATTGGAATGTCTGGGTTTGATGGCGCGTGCTCATTTGGAATTAAAGTCAGACATAAACTTCCTGAGCGCCAGAGAAGCAAGCATACTTTGCTAACACTCAGTCAATATTGTTTTGAATGTATTTCAGGAAGAGCTGGGAGCATTCCCTTCTTTTTCCGTAAACCACTATGGAACAGCAAGGTTTATTGATGGTTTGTTGACA